AGGGCTTGCATATTTATAGCTCCTCAAACAGCTGGTAAAGAATGCGCCTGGCTACTAATGGAAGTTTGCAAAATCTTGACATATTTTTTGACAAATATTTGAAATTTCATATATTTTAAAGAAGAGAGCTCTTGGAATTTATGAAGAAAAGAAAGTACTTATGAGAAGTAGTCCACTTTGATTTCCTTTCCATTTATAGATGCACATATACCTACAAGTAAGTGTTTACACATTTGGTTGACACCAAAGAAGGAAAGGTTAAGACAGGTGCAGGGATTCAGAAAAACACACTTATGCTGATTTCTCTCTGTGTGTCTATTTCTCTCTCTCTCTCTCTATTCTCTCTCTTTCTCTCTCTCTCTCTCTCTCTCTCTCTCTCTCTCTCTCTCAACACACACACACACACACACACACACACACACACAGACTTTCCATACATCTATCAAATGGACAGAGGAACAGATAGCAATAAAAGGTTGACTTTTCTTCCAAAAGGGGAATTGACCAATTCTGTACAGCATGGCATATTGACTGGAAGACAGTAAGACAGAGACTTGAGACTGTTCATGTTCCTTCTTACCCCCACCCCAAACTCCCAATGACATTGGGAAAAATACTGCAATGCAGCATTTGCCAGTGCATACTCATGTCTAGCATTCGCTGGCTAGCTCACTAAAAAAAAGTACATATTAAATGTCCAGGCACATAAATTAAGCATCTAGTAGCTAAAGATCACTGAAACATATGAAGAAATATATCAAGGCCAAAGTACTTCTGTCCATTTACCATGACCTCTATTAAGCCCGCCATTTCTTACTTGTGGTACACACAGATAATGTGTTTCATTTTTAAAAATTAAAATAAGGCAGTAAGGTGCCAAGGGCTAAATGAAGCAGCATTATCTCTTCATAGATGAGATAGTATTTTGTCTACATGTAGGGAGAGAATTCAACCACAAAAATGAGATAAGTAGAGAGAAAAGAAGCAAAGCAAAGGATGTGGCCCGAGGAAACCCTTTCATTGTTCATAGTAACTCTAAATTGAGAAAAAGCACATCAATTCATAGATCCTTTTAGAGACACTGAACATACACACATGTGCACACACATGCACACACGGGCATGCACGCACACAGAGCAGAACACCATTCATGCAGTGATTTCTACATTTGAAATTTCAAACAAATTATTTGTAATAGAATTTCAATGGATGGAATAATAAATTTAAAATATCTAAAGTCTAATAAGCTCCAGACCCTCTTTGTAAAGCTGAGTTTGGAGCTACAATGTATACACATAGTTCATTTTCTTTCTTTTAAAAAATTATACTGCTAGTACCACCTCATAACAATCTTGTTCTCATAATAAAACCCTAAAAAACAAGAAAGGACTACAGGAAGAGAAAAAAGTTTGAAGGCTTTGTGCAAACCATCAAGCAAGCAAGCCCATCTAAATGTGGCCAGAAGGATAACTAGAATAAATGGCAGTTATGGATAAATGCATCTAAGATTCAAATGAATAGTCAAGCTTTTTGTTAGTTTTTAAAAAATGAGATATTAAAATCATAGTGTAATTTAATGATTCTCAAGGTAATTTTCAGTTACTTCCCCACCTCTGCCCATTCAATTCTTCCCAAAATTTAAATAGCAAATGACTCATTCATTATATTACTATGAATTATATAGACATTCTGATCATTAAAACTGTGAAGTAGTCAGATGTCTTTTGCAGTAATATTTCCAACCAGGTTTTCACTTCTTAATAGATGCACATGCAGCCTTATGCTACTGTCCAGGCACACCTCCACATGCAGGTAGTAGGTATTAATATTTTTTAAGACAAAGAAGCCAGAAAGGTCAGCAGCAGAACCACGTGTCTTAAATTTTTTTTAACAAGCCAAGCCAAGGTGAACAGTCTCAGAAAATATAAAAGGAAACTATATTAGAGTAAGAAAAGCTATTCTATTTTAAAGTTGATATATATTTGTGAATTCAAGATATAAGAACACGGTTTAAGCGTGGGACAAAAATGTAAGTTTATTTTTACCTTAAGAGTGAAAAACAAAGTAAGACCCCTCCATCAGAAGACAAAACAAAAAGAAGCATCTTCGCAGGGCAAAAATGGTGGGGCTGGTGATGGAAATGTGCAATGGAGGGAGTTCAAGAATATTTTTGATAAAGGCAATTATGTTTTTTAACCTTGCAATGCATTCCCATATTTTTTTTTTAGTCTTTCATCTTTGGGTTTCAAATTAGCTACCTGGTTATGTACTGATATTGTCACCATGAAGAAACCATAACTGATCATGCTTTTGGTTGTTTTCATGCTACTCCTATTCACTGAAGTACTGTATGTTTTAGTTCTTCTGGTACCCACAATCACTAGGAAATAGATGCTACTAGTAAAGCACTCTAAGAGAGAGAAAAGAGAGATGCCTGTCACCCAGTGCACGCAAGGGTCCCAGATGTTCAGAGACACTGGAAAAATTGCCTTTTCACTCAGTTTATGCAAAGATCAGTCTTAAGACAAAATGCCAAACAGAAAGCAGTGGTCGTGAGGGCACAGGCTGATAGATCTTGTGGCTGGAGGTGTGAGCAGTGGAGAAAAGCAAAAAGCTCTTCATTTATTATATTCTAAAGACATTTCTACTTGGGATATAAAATAAGAGATACAATGAACTCCTCAGAACTACAGTATCACCATGTAATGTAGTAAGAATACCAGTATCACCTAACACAAAACCGCTGCTTAGTGTAAATCCACTTATATTTTTCCTATGAATATTTACAGGAAAATTTGAAGAAATCATTTGCAGAACCTGCAGCCGTGGGAGTTCACTATTCTGGTTCCGTCAACTTCATTCAATATAATGCACATTTTTTTTTTCAAATGGTCTCAGAGGATTCCT